ATATATATATATATATATATTCGTGAAATTATTCGTTTCGACGTCCATCAGCGTATAATCTCCAATTAACCGTTAGTTATTGGAGAAGATTATCGAAATGAATACGATTCTCAACGCGGTAATATTTCTCTTTTTAAATTAAAATAGGGGAAGTGAACGAAGAAGCGTATAAAAAAAAAGGTGTTTTATCGACATTCCGCCATTTTAATCGACGTTTTTTAGTCGCGCAATTACAAAATGGAGGAGGGGAGAGAAGATAGAAACGATGACAAGAATTATTTATATCGAGCTTGTCCATTCGATTTAACGCGGACAGAAATCGATTTCGAAAAAGCCCCCGATTTTTATCGCGTGAAACGCGGTATTCCATCCAGACGTCGAACAGTCTAACGATTAAATAAAAAGGGGACGTGGTGAGCGCGTATGGGCGCGTATCACGCGACACGGAATCGTGAAGCTTTGTAGGATCGTGAAGGGGGCCGCATATAGGTGCTATAATTCCTTAATTTACCGCCCCTATCCTTGAGAGCGCTAAAAAGGAATTCGCAAGGACAAAGGAAGCCACTTAATAGACCCTGTCCTCGTACACCTTTCCGAGCAAACCTACTTACCTACCCTTCTCCGAGGCGATATCGAATATCGAAAAAAGTAAACTGATGCTCCGTTATGATACAATAAGGCGCGTTTAACTCGATTAATCGTAACCAAGATATAATAATAGATAGTGCACGATAATGCGATTTTTTCCAACATGGATGCAATTATCGAGGGGAAATATTCGATGAAAATTTTTCGTTTCAATAATTCGAGCTGAGTGGGTTTCTATTTTCTTTTTTTTTTTTTTTCCGAACCGCGTTTGATTCGATCGAGGAAAAAAAAAAGTACAAAGTGCATTTTTATTCCATGGACAAAGTAACAATAAGGGATGATGAAATGAAATGGAAAAAGAAGGAAACGTATAAAGTAAACTTCATAACCTACACGTGGAACACGTTGGTGGAAACACGGTTCAAATAATTTTATCTCGGGATCTTGTTGTCTCGGAACAAGAAAAACCTCAAAATTGTAATTTTCCTCGTCGTTTCTCGCGTCGAAGCAACTTCGATAAGCGATTCGGATAGCTATAACGTTATAAACCACCAATGAAATATCTCGTTTAAATCGAATTCCTATGGAACGTTCGGCCATAGTTCACATTTCACCGCGATTACTATATAGTTTTAGACGAGCTACGCTTTACTAATAAATTTTATTCGTACAGAAATTCTTTCCGCATTTAAATATCTTCGTTTAAATATATATAATTATTATTTAAATGTGAAAAATGCAGAAAAATAATTCGAATAAATATTGTGTAGTAATAAAATCAAACGGTAAAAACATGTATAACTTTGTGATATTTAAAAGTTTAAATGTGACAAGTTTCAGCAAGGTCATCGTAACATCAAGACGATCTTTTTTTTTTAATATTTAAGAAAAATACAGTGCACAAGATAATCCAGAAGATAATCCTGCGAAACGTAAAATTCTTTAAAAAAAGTAGAGCCAATGCTCCTGAGATTTTTAATTACAACATTACAACTGTATAATCTTGAAAAATGCGATATCTCTGTTTTATATGCGTATTTGAGATTAGAACAAAGGTATCCCGTAGCGTATGGCCCGATTTATGACCGTCTACAGAAAAAAAAAAAATAAAAATTTTCTTATCAAGGCTACTTCTAAAAAAAAATTATACAACGATATTTTTAGAATTGTGCGTGTCGAAATAGTGGAACAGGATTCGACCTTGAGCCTTAAAGCCCCCCGAAAGAAATTATCGGGACTGTGACGTAAACACGATTTCAATGCGTGAACAAAGGCTCACGCAATTATTTACCAGAGAGTTTAGATGGCTATCACGCTTGATAGTTATTCTTTTTTCGCGCGTTGGGCCGAAACATCGCTCTTGTTTCATGAACACAAGAACTGTCCAAAGAGAGGGCAAAACGTGCGATCAGATAGAGAGTGGAGCTTAGTTCGCGAGTGGAAAACGTCCATCATTGTTCGACTCCATGCGAGAATTGTCACGAACATCGATAACGCGATGTCTGTTTCCCTGAAATGAGCTTTCTCCTTGTCATAAGCTGTAAATTCCTGAAAAATTCCAAATTTATATATATATCGATCAGAAATATCGATCGCAGATGAATATGAAATATTTTTTTTAATTTGGTTGAATTTGATTGACTCGTGCCACTTGTTAAACTCGTCTTTCTTACGTCTTTAGTTTGAATCGATATCGGTTGAGGAAGAAAAAAATTTTCTACGGATCATGGAACTCAATTAATATCACATTTACTCCACAGGATTTTCAATAGAAAAAAATGCTTGGGAAAATAATCTATCTTATCTGTAACAATCTTTAATTTTTAAAAAAAAAAAAAACGTTACGAAAGAGAATCAGAGAATTGCATTAAAATAAAATGGTAAAATTCTTATCGTTGATTCATCCGATTCAATAATGATTCAAAGAAATATAATCTAATCTAATATTTTTGCCATTCGATCGTTATTTTTCTTTCCTACGATCGAACTTGCCAGAAATCATTTCAAACAACTTTTTCCACCGCGGACAAAGTTTAAAGAACGATCGTAGTTTGCCACTCACCTTCCCTCTTCCCCGAATCGATCGTTCGATGCCGGAAAACGCATGACAAACGGCCGTGTAAAAGGGGACTACAACAATCCCCGGATCGTTTTAGCAAAACTTTACGTATTCCAAAGTGGATTGGAAACAAGTGAAAACCGCCCGTTTTCTGTTCCAGTTAAGGACAACGAAAAATCCAACTCGAGATCGTCGAGCCAGAGAAGCAACCAGAGCATCTCCTTGAGAAAGCCAAGCGGGGTAAGAATTTTTCCCATCTCTTGGTGAAACTGGGCGCCGTTTAATTCCTGTAATGGAACCTTGAACACTTTCCCCCGTCCCAGAGGCAACACCGAGGACACAGTCGATAACTCGAAGAACCTCTTCTCCCCTCCCTCAATCTTGCTCGTCCCTGGAGACGAATCCAACCCCCCCTCCTCCTCGCCAACCCTTATCCAACCGATCGTCGTTGCTCGTTCCGTTTCAATTCCTCCACGGATTTTTTAATTAGCGCGGATCGCTTTCCGAAAACGATTCAAACCAGTCGTTTCCTCGTCCCTGTAATCTCTGTATCCCGAGGATGTTCGAATATCGAAGATTGTACGGCCATATATATATATATGTGCATCGACTCCTTTCTTCCGATCTTCTTCGATCGTAGCTGGTTTTTTAATAATCGCGGACAATGCGGCGACATCATGGAAGTTTTTTTCTTTTTTTCGAACCTTGACCCGCTTCTTCTCGATCCTCGATCGAGCGACGTCTATGAAGAAGTGTGGTGGACGATCGATAGTCGACGAGTAATCCTTCTATTACGAAGAGGGGTTGTAATGAGGTGAGAAGGTCGGCCGATTGCCTCATCAATTTTCGACGGGGGTAATATCGAGGTTTGTTTGTCTATACCGGCCGGGTTAAGGATATATATTCGAAATGAACAGTTTGACGATAGCGATACCGAATTCGACTAATCTTCTCGTTCGATTCAATGATGAATTTGGACAATAATCATTTCGAGATCCGTTTTATGGTTTTCTTCGCTATAAAATGTCACTTCTCCTTATATTTCCGTGTATTACTGTTATGTTGTAATATAATTGTGTTATACAGGGACGAGATGAATTTATTTTTATGCTCAATTAATAATCTAGATCGAGTTCGTCTTTTGTGGTCCCTCATAGATGAGAAATTGTCCTTGGCTGTTCGAGTTTACACGATAGATAATATATACACGTAACATTTAATTAATAAGTATCTTTGAACCGCGTGTTATAACCCTCGCTGGTCATTAATTAACTCCCAGATGGTACATATGTCGATCTTCCAATTACTTCAATCATGTATTGGAACTTCTCAATCAAATATTTAATCATGGCAGGAGGAGAAGCACGAATTATTGACACGCTATATGCATTTCCTATTAGATTCCCCTTAAAATCTAATTTCCCCTTGAAAAAATTAAAAATATTCCTCTAAATATTTATGCCTTCACAACAATTTCAAATAGCCGTTTCTGTTCCTCCGAAAATACAATTTTACATAAAATACACCAAACGCTAAATGTGATCAATTACGGCCAACTTCGTAATCATTAAATTGTTTACAACTTGCTTAAAGAAAGATCATTCCTTCGTTTAACGTTCTTCCATGACGAACGTAGTTCTGGATCCGCCACGGTGTCGGAAATTAAACCGTTCATCGAAGTTAGGAACTTTGATTAATCCAAGCCACCAATGCGGGTGACAAACAGTCGCCTGTACTCGGTGAGAACCTCCACACTCACTCCACTTAACGAGTCTTCGAGCGTAACTTTGAATCGGTATTTATAGTCAAGGTTTTTTCATTTATCATCAGAGAAATATACGTAAATGTTCGCAGAATTATCGGAGCCGCAGCAGTCGTTTCTTCAGCGTCTCGACGGAAGACTCGAGCGTTGACTCCGAAGTAGGAAGCAGCACCACGCTCACATCCGGTCGGAGCTCCGTTGGGGCTGCGGGGCTCAAACCTAGTAAACAGCGATGGAGCGGCTTCTTCACGAACACGAAGGGAACAAAGATTGATCTGCTCACCTCTCTGCTGGACGATTATGACAAGCATGGCGTACCCAAGGATACGCAATTGTCGTACGAGCTCGCCTTCAACGAAGATGGTAAGGAAACTTTCGAATCGTCGTAAAAGTGTTGAAGATGAGTGATTAGATAGGGAATCTCGTCGATTTCTCGAAGTAGATTACATCTCAATTACTCTTAATGGTCGGTTAGTTAGCAATCAACGATCCGAGATCTCGGCTCTGCAGCTCTCATCTTTAAAATTTAATTAATTAAAAAAAAAAAAAAAAAAATAGAGAAAGCGATAGATATAGTAGAATCACATCTGTACAAACTTATATTTTTATCCAATAAATTATCTTACACTGCGAGACGTTTAAATATACATATTTATAACATTGGGGGTCGATGGATGTTTTCTTTTTTTTTTTTAATACAATATACATATGACAAGAATATTTTACAGTCTCCTCCTCTGTGGTTAACGCTTCACGTGTCGTTTGCGAGCGTGCAATTGTGATTTTGAACGGACGATGTTACTTGCTCGTACTCTCGGAAAGTTCCAGGCTGAAAAGACACAAAGAAAATTAAGTTAAGCTTTTATTAACTCTCTCTTCTTTTCAATGTTTAGCCTTGTACTTAGAACACGATTGGCGCGACATCGTTCAAAACTCGGATCAATTATCGGAAAAACAACAGCAACAACAGACCGCTTTATGGGAACTGGCTCAAACGGAAGTGGCTTATATCAAGACTTTAAAGGTTGTCACAGACGTAAGTATCCTTCCTTTTTTTTTTTTTGTTAAAGATATCTTTATATATATATATTTTTTACGATATCGAATTTCCATTATTCTACAACGTTTATTAACACTCTAGCTGTTTATGGCGTGCCTCTGCAGCCTGCAGGCCTCGAATATCCTGAACGAGGTCGACAGGACGAGGCTCTTCAGTAACATCCCCGAGATCTACGCCGCGAACCGCTACTTCTGGACCGAGTACGTCCTAGCCATGGTAAATACGTCGAGGAGCACTGGACAACCGCTCGAACCAGGCCACCTTCTGCAAGGTTTCGAGACGTTCGAGCAAACCTTCGCACCCTACACCAGATATTGCGCGGAGCAGAGCAAATGTCAGCAATACTGCAGAGACCGTTTGAACGATAATCAATTATTCACGGTCTATCTGGTGGTGAGGATTATTTTGAAAGTAGAAAAATTGAAACGTTTCTTTTTTTCTTTTTTTTTCACTCTTCATTTTTCATCACAGTGGTGTGAGACTCAGAAGGATTGCAATCGATTGAAACTGCTCGACATACTGGTGAAACCTATGCAGAGGCTGACGAAGTATTCTCTGCTCTTGAAGGCTGTTCACAAGAACACGGAGAACGAGGAGCAGCGGGCGGAATTGACTCATATGGTAAAGGAATCATCGATATCGTGTAATTGCATTTTATGTTACTATTTTATCTAGTTAATACGAACTGTTAAACTGTCACAGATCAAATCTGTAGACGACTTCGTGGCGTCTGTGAATGCAGCATTGAGGAGGAAGGAGGAGACGGCGCGGTTGGCCAGCGCTGCGTCTCGAATAGAATGTTACGACGTGGTCGAGTCCAGAGACGAAGAATTGGAGAAACTGATTAAAATTCACAGCACGTTTGATATTACCACGGTTCCAATACCTGGTTGTCCCAAAGACACCCTTAGAGTACTTCTTCGAGAGGGAGATTTAAAATTAAGAGACGCAGTTAGCAGCAAGGTGATGATGGAATAATAACGTTTTAAATTAAAAATACGATAAAAATCAAAGAAGCACTTATTTCTTTTTCTTTCTACACCGCAGATGGAAGTACACGTATTGCTGCTGACAGACATGCTATTGATCTGCAAACCGTCGACCAAGAAAACTTCCAGTGGGCTGACTGGCACCGTGGGGGGCGGTTTGAAGATTATAAGACAACCGTACGTAATCGATCGTATCCGAATACACGAGCTGAAGGAGCCAAGCAGTTTAGGCTTGGTTTATCTGAACGAGTATGGGGCGGCATCAGCTGCTCTGGTTCTCAGCGCCGGAGAATCGAAATTGGCCAAGGTATACTCGTCCGTGAAACTTTTTTCTTTTATATCTCATCCGATAATTTTATTATATATATATATATATACACCCAACTTTTCAGTCTTGGATGGAATCGATCAGGAAAGCTCAACAACAATTTGCTCTAATGAAAGTGCCGCCGCTTGGCAACACGATGAACTTGACCACGGTCAGTAGACAACACAGCAGTTTCCTCGGTGACGAGTACGAACAAGAGGAATGCGAGGGAATCCCAAAAACGCCTCGAGGAAGTAGCCGGGCGTCAAGAGTAAGCAGCCTGGCCCACAGTCACAGGTAATAGGCCCAAGCCTGATCGAGAACGAGTGGAGAAGGAAGAAGTAGGTGGGAATATCAAAGGTTTGCAAGCAGTAATAGTCATGAAACCGGTTCCAGCGGAAGTATAGAGATGGAAGGGGTTTCGCCAGGGAGCAGCACTTTTCTGCCTAGCTATAACCCGAGCAGAAATATCAGCGTGGAGACGAGCGAACCACCGCGAGCTTCGAGCGTTTCGTCGGAGGAGGGTGGCGACAGTTCTGGCCACAACCATGCACGACCGTTTCAAATAAGGTAAACGTGCGGGATACCAACCAGCGAATGTTTAACAAATTTAACACGTAACAAAAGTGTTTATAATATGCAATCTGACAATAACGTTTAACCGTTATTTTAGTCCTAACAAATTTGATAATAGACGATACCCGCTGAGTAAGTCACCGACGCCTAACACGTTGAGTGTCCAAGTGCCGGCGTACTCTAGCTTGGGCCAATCGCTGCCAAACTTGACCCTAGCCACTTCGCCACAAACTTCAACCGTGTCTCCGACACCGCCAAACTCGCTTCTAATCGTACCCCAAATAACAAAAAGCAAGGACACTTTGCTTTCACCAGGGCACCGAGGTAGCAATTACCCACGCGGGACTATATCTCTTTCCACCCTTTTTATCCCTTAGAGGTCTACTAAGCGATTCAGATAAACAGATACCGGCGAACCAGTAGCGCTGTGCATGCTTAACAGAAACTTAGACAATAGGAGAATATAGAAAGTTTAAAATTCAAGGGATCAAACAAAATATCGGTGTAACAATTTATTTATCTTCCCGCTGCACTGTTCCAACTTTTAGAAATAGTCGATCCTTATTTCCTTCTTTTATTATGCTTCTCCCTGTTCCCGTTGAATCATGTAAATTAGTAATACAAAATATAAGTAATAAAATGCTCACTCTGCTTGATATTAGCACCAAGAAAAAAAAAAAAAGAAACGATCGAAATAATCTAATACGTTAGGGTGTTAATCGAAAAAATACCATTAGGTATCTCCTATCCACCACCGTCACCCCCGAGAGGGGCGCTTAGAAGAGCGTTCGCGATTCCTCAATCACGAAATCCACCTCTCGTTAAAACGAGACACATAAGCACGTCTGTGACACAAACGATTCAGCCTGCGATGAATCTAGACGCGGAAGCCATTGAAGAGAGGCGAAGAAGGCTGGAACCTTCGCACAGGATGCCATCGACCAGCAGCATCGCGGAGGAAAAGGTTTTATTTGTTGATTATGATTTCTATAAATTTGAAATTAATCTTATCGATATTCCTTTACAAAGTTTCCTCTTATGCGAAAGAGATAAGCATAAAGAAAAGATTAAATAAAAATGTTTCTTGATGATATTTTTTGAGACGCGTTATATATCTCTTGAATATTCAGACGCCTCGTTAATAATGAAATACAGTTTGTTAAAAATCAATGTGATACCAAATGTGCTTTTTTTTTTTTTTTTTTTTTTCTTTTCTTTTAATCTTACTACGTGGAGCAAAGGAATGTCCAAATTTTTAATTTAAAGAGAATGTCATAAAATATCTTGTATTTTCTATACGTGGATATTTCGAGTGTGTATATATAAAATAGAGAGTTTCTGGATGTTTCTTATTTTTTTTTTTTTTTTTTCTAGAAATGACTAGAATTGGGATACAAGAGTAACTTACTAAGAAGATAGATTGCTATGGACCATCTACATTTGATGATGAGGGAGTACGTTGAATGATACGTCATGTTTAGAGATAAGATGTTGCTTTCTGTTGTCTGTATGCAAGTGCTGCACACACTTTCATGCAGGATCAGAAAGAAATGATTCAAACGATTGAGAAGGGATTCAAATTGAATTTGAAAAAAACGTTTACGTACTCCTTATGCCTACAATATGAATCGAGCAATTTTACAATCGGTGAGTAGAAATTTTATCTTATCTAGTATTTATTATAAAAAAAAGTAATAATAATAATAAATGTAAAACAGATGCATGATTCTATTACTGTACAAGAATCTGTTTTCAGATTGGGGCCATTCGAAATCAACGTGAAGTTTGTTATTACGATCGTATCATTGTAATTTGATTCTAGCGGTGTAACTTTTAGATCTCATTTTGTAATTAATTCGTCGGGTTGTGACGATCACGTTTCAATATTACTCTAATTCATTCAGAATCGACGAACAGAAAAAGAAAAAGGCCTACCTAGTGTAATTAATATTACGACTATTTATCGTGATTTAAGTTTAGATGATTATAATAGTTGGAATAAGACGCCTTTAGAGCAACAATTTTAAAATAAACGAGTTCGAGTTTCGTGATTTAACGATATAAAAACAGGTACGGACATTTAGAAATGAGGACACACACGTAGAAAAGTATTACATTTCATGTAGAAAAAAAAAAGAAGAAAAAAAAAACAAAAGAAAATGAAAAATTACGTTAATCCCTCGTATAAACTTTGATAAACACACGATTACTAAATGTGGAAAGTTACGAAAAGCGTGAAAAGAGAATGAGAGATAAATTTTCTTAGGTACAAATTAAATTTCACGATATTTTGTTCAAGAGACTGAACTAACGATTGTCGGGATGTCGACGAACGTCACCTAACTAGAGACAACAATATGTAAAGAGAAAAGAAGAGCAATGATTTTATACGAGCTCCTTTGCGTAAGGTTTCTTTCAATCCTCCCCCTCCCCCTTCCAAAATTTGCGCTTGTATTAAGCTTCAAGTGTTAAAATTATCATTAAAAAAAAAAAAAAAAAAAAAAACTAATCGATTGTGCGTGTATGTACGATCATTCATGATCAAGGTCAAAATATAGTACATAATTTATTAATTACGTGTCTCGTTTAATACCCAATTGAACCACTTATTTCTAAACCTAGTATCACAATCTTCTTTAATGGATGATGCCAAAAATTGAAAATTAAAATATAATTTTTCTTTTTTAGCTTTTTTTATTCATTTTCTTTTTTTTTTTCTTTTTTTTTTGTATTCGAATAAGGCAAATATTATACGAATAATATTAAGCGATCTAATAAATATTTTTTATTTATTCTTTTTTACAAGAGATTTTCAATAAATCATATTTTATATACAAATAAATTAAATATTCTAAAGATCACAATTTTTAATTTTATATTCAGCTTTCATATTTTATTTACCTATTTACATACGCGCACGATATTTTAGATTTTTCAGACACTCATCTACTATATACCCATAACCCAAAAGATAAAAGATGTTGAATGTTGTTAGAATACTGTATTGCACACTTACTTGAAAGCTCGAGGGCGAAGGCAAGTCCCAACTACGGGGACGACGATGCGAGCCCGAGATCCGTCAGCAATCATTCGCCATGTCTTGACATGTTCGAGCTTCACTACGTTCATCAGCCAATGCTTCCAGAATATCCAGTAAAAGTTCGCGACTTAATTGCTTTAACTTTGGTAACCTTGCAACCTATGATGAAATAAAATAATGTTTATGATAAAAAAAAATTGTTATTTCATAAAATAAAAAAGAAATATATGATGAAATGTATGAACCTTTGTAAAGTGATGCACGATTAGATTTAATGCATATTTTTTCATATCAACAGCTTGCATTCTATCCGCAGCTTCCAAGATTTGTATAACATTTTCAAAAGTAACATTCATTTCGAGATTTTGTTTGCAAAATGCTTGCAATCGATTATTGTAAAACCATAAAAAACTGGTGCGGTAAATAAATACAAAGAGTCTTCGGGTGGCATCGAAACATCTGCATAATAAATATACCTTAATAAAGAGTCAAATGATTCAGAAGATGGGATCATTTCACCGATTTGTATCTGCAATAGAAGCATACGTTTTGTTACGACGTATTTAATTGTCAATAAAAACATAACTAATCAATCAACTTACATTCACAATATTATTCTCTGGCATAAAAGAACGGAACATTCCCTCGAAATAGCTACATCGTGCCGCAAGAACAGCTTTATGAGCTGGAATTGGTACACCATCTAACATGAGCGTTATATCACAAAATTCTCTGCCAACACTTTTAAGAAATGCTTCCATATCCTGTTCCAAAGTTGTTCCTAAGATAAAAAAAAAAAAAATTCCAATAAAATTCCAAATAAAATTATTATTTTACAAACAATCTTGAAAAATAGTACCTGCATTAAGATCAAATTGTCTAGGAAATGCACCTCTTTGAGGCATTTGTCTTTTCCTAATAATTTCCACCATCAAAGGTTGATCCAAAGTCTCAAATTCTTTACTCATTACAATTTGATTGTAATTAATTTCTTTCACGATAAAACTTAAACAAAACTCTTTTATAAAATAAAGTTTTAAATGAGCAGCATTATGCAATGCTTCCAAAACATTAGCATGACTTATAGTCGCTTTTAGATACTGGACACACAACTGTTCTAATCTTTTCATATTAAACTGTAAAGCTAAACGGTAGACATCCATCATAAGAAGCACAATTCGATTGCTTAATGGATCTTCAGCAACACGACTGCACGATCCGTCTTCGTTTCTTTTCGTTGGATCAATACGATCAGTATAAATATAGTTTAGGACCATTTCAAATGCTTCTGGCACAGCATCTTTCAGTCTTACCTATGATATAGTAACAATATATCAAAGTATTGATACCCAATATTGGGTATCAAATAAATATATTTACCTCTAACAATGGCATATCTTTAATCGGAATATCGACAGTTCCAAATACTTCTTCCATATGTTTATCTCGTTTTTCTCGAGCGTGTCTAATACGAGTCCTAAGAAATTGTGAACGAGCTGCTACCATAGCTATATGAGCAGGTATTTTTGTTTCCATATCTCCTACTATAAATTCTACATCACAGAAAAGACGTCCGCTCAACAATCTTCCGAAATCGTCATGCAAAGTACATTTTGGATACGACGAAAATTGAAATCGATATGTCTCTCCAGATCGTACATTATTGTCAACTGTTCCACCAAAAATAACATCGCTTCTCCAATTACTGCTGCCGCATGAAATAGACGACCAGATGGAACCTGACTATCAGCAGATGGCAAAATAATATTCCATGTTTGTGTATCAAGATCATAACAATGAAGATCATTTGGTAGAGTAGAATCAGCTGCTCCGCCAAATACATAAAGATATCTATCAAAGCTGACCATAGTATGACCATATCGTCGTGCTGGCGGAGGTGGTGCACCACGAAGTATATGTTCCGTTGAAATTCGCGTCCATCTGATGATTCATATTTCATTGAATATAATATAATTTTAAGATATGAAATTATAAACTTACCGTTTTTCTCGAAAGTGAAATTGAAAGAGACTATTTGTAATTTTAGCTCCACTCTGGCCACTAAATACAAACATAGATTCACGTGCTACAGCAACAGGAAAATTGCAACATGTTGGTGGACAGTCACCAGACTGATCAACTTCTTCCCACACTCTTAATTCTCCAGGCTAAAAACGATGATAAAATAATAATTTTCATCATCATATTAAATATAATATATTAACTTACTAATAATGATATGGTCCACATATCATTCAATCTTGCATTGCCATCATAACCAGCAAATATCCATAATTTATTATCATATACAGCAGCTCCATGTGCAGATCTAGCTACAGGTGTTCTATAAAGGGATATATATTTTTATAACTGTACAATTAATAATTTGAAATGATAATAAAAAACAAAAATAAACTAAATAAGATAAATAAGACATACTTCCCAATAAATTTCCATTCTGTCCATTGACCAGTTTGGAATCGGTACTCAAATAAATCATTTTTATTGGTGAGATTTGAATTGGAATGTATATCACCAGTATAACCACCAAATACAAACATAGAAGAATCATGCACAACTGCAGAATGATGATATCTTGGGGCAGGAGGTGCTCCTGTTGCAAATGCACGTCCCCAAGATTTTTCTTTCACATCAAATCTCAACAAATCATTTAACATTTTTTTACCATTATCACCACCAAACACATAGATTGCATCTTTATAGGCTACAACAGTATGTTTGCTACGCCTGTGTATAATACAATATAGTGAACTTTTGAAATAATACATTTACATTATTCTTTCTAACATGACATATAATTAAAGGAAATAAAATGCAATAAAAAAGAATGAATTTAATCAATCATAATTATAATTTCTATTATAACTTAACTTAAATAAGAATTATATTGGTATATAATTAAAAACTCTATAAATTACTTATTATTATTTATTTACAATTAGCAATTACAAATAATCTTTAAAACAAAGTTAAAAAGTAAATAAATAGATTCAAAAATGCTGGATTTAACTGAAACACTGATGCACAATTAATGGAATTGAAATGCTGTAACAAAATTATTGTTTGAACATTGTAAAAGGTATTAAGGAAAGTTCAAAATAATTTACAAAAATTGAAAATTATAATTCGTGTGGTTAAGATTAAATTAATTTAATTTATTACCTAGCACCAACGAATTCGTCGCATTCTGGCATACGTTGCCAACGATGAACAGTTTCAAAGGGACCAAAATCAAGAGTTAAACACTCTGCAGTCGAAACGTTATCCATTTTTTTTTATTATTTTTAAGAATAGAATCACTTTAAAAGATTCATGTTTAACCTATATATTATTGACTTAGCCATTCTTTATTTTTTATTCAATTTTGAAATTTACACACACTTTCAGAAACGAGACTTAATAATATTATTATATCGAAATATCAAATAATTTTATTTTTATTTTTATTTTTATTCTATGTAATAAAAATTAAATAAATCACCCGCTAACTGAAAAGAACTGTCAAAAACGTGTGGTTCGATTGATCGAATAGATTACGGCCGAATACAATAGAACACAGTTAAATTTATATATTATTTATTTTACAAACAATTAACATAAACTATCAATAGTAGTATTTTTTGTAATTATACTTTTTAATATATGTGATTATTGTATTTACATATATATAAAATGTTAAATTCAAAAATTATCACAAGAAAATTGATTCTCAACTCTTATCAGTAGTACCACAAACGAAGCACAACATAGATTTAATATTTAATACATTTTTTTCTTCCATATTTCAAGAACATTAGAAACTTTTTATCATTAAGTGCTAAAATTTAATTTTTAAAAGCACTCAAAAAATAATACTGATATTCTATTTTTATCTCTGTATTTCTGCTACTATTTATTCTTCTTACTTCTTCCGCACTCAAAAAATAGCTTTAATATTTAATTAACATTATTTTTCTTCTTTTTTTTTTTTTGCCTAACTCATTCAAAAGTTTAACAAAATTATTATATATATATTATATATTTTTTATACATTACATATATAATCATATTTTAATAGAAATTTGACAACGATGTGAAACTTGTTTTGGAATAATTTTGTTAACCATACTTTCAATATATATATATATGCGTCATATCATTATTCACTTATTATTTCGTTTAATAAAATTTTGATTTTTTGCGCAATCGGTATTTCAAAATATGAGATGCAAAATCTCATAAAATGTTAATCTATTTTATATATTATCTATGGTAGTATCAACTTAACAAACGGAGAGAATTGGCGCTTTTGAAAAAGGAGCTTATTTTGTACCGTTAGAAATTCACATAAATGCAAATAATCTTATAAATGCGTTTCATAAGTCTTACAATTATCGCCCAACTCATTTAAACGATTAGAGATAGATGTTATGCGGTGAAGTGACAATTCATAAGATAACGTGCCAACACACAGAATTTAAGCTGAGAAAGTCGCCACTACTTTTCAGTCTTTCATTAAATAACAATATTCACGAATAATGATACGAAATGTATTTCAAAACGGTCAAAAGATCTTTTGGATCGGATGTACATGCATTGGCACATACATCGCATATCGATATTGGAAAAAACGAGAACTTTTGGCAATAGACGAAGGTTTTGAAGAAGTGTCTAAGGTTAGAGTTCTGATTTGAAATCATTTTTGATCGTTCCAGAATTGATTTAGTGATATCGATTTTATTATTTATATTTATTTGTTGAAAGAAATCTCAGTAACAATTCTCGTTGCTTTACTTTTATAGATTGATGATAGTCATGAAAAACGAGTGCTTCTATTAGGTTTATCCAGTGCTGGAAAAACATCAATTATAAACCAAATATGTGTGGCAAACGGTGATGAAACTTCATATATTGCACCTCCAAAACCCACAGAAGGTTCTTCTGTATATAGAATAAAAAATGGGGTTCTATTTTATAATGTTTGGGATAGTATGTAAATTTTATTTTATTTTACCAAGGATTAGTTATTTGTAATTGTATTATTAAATATTATTTTATATTAGTTGGAGGTTCAGATGCCACTAGAAAATATTGGACTGCTTTTTTGCAAGACACAGATTTGTTATTGTTTGTAGTAGATTCATCTGACAAAAGCAAATTATCTTCCGCTGCTTCTATTTTGAAACAGTTATTAAGTGATACAAGAATGGATGATGTACCAATTTTAGTAGTTGCTAATAAGCAGGTAAATCCTTTTTAATAACACTTATTTAAAGGTTTATTAAAAGTTCTCTAATATATTTATGTATAAAATTAGGATGAAATCTATGCTCTAAAGCCAGAAGAAGTAAAGAAAGCTTTAGATTTATTAAGTATTTCACCTCATAAGCATAAAGTAGAAATAATTGGATGCCAAACAAGACCTTTTCCTAAAATTTCAGAAACAAATGAATATACTTGGTATCATGCATCTGTTGATTCTGTTAGAAAAAAAATGTTTTATATGGCAAAAGATAGTGTATCTGCTCCTCTTTTTTGTTAAAGAATACTTTATAAATGAAAGGAAAGAAAAGAATAGAAGAATAAGAAGTAAATAAGAAAATGACAATATGCCTAATTCAGCATATTGTGTACAATTTTTCAATGGATTAAAATGATTACAGTTTGTGCACAAAATGAATCTTTTTAAAACAAATAATTCAAGCTTTAAAAAAAGAAATATAAATAAAAATATACAATTTTTAAGGTTTTTTCAGTATAATAATATTTGCAATCATTTAATTTTTTATGAAGTCTCTTTTCAGCACATACACATATATTTATTTAATAAATTATTTATTTACTTTATCAAATCACAGTAAAAGTCTTTCATTTTTTTTTATGTAAATTATGCATAAATCAAACTACATTAGTTTTTGTAATTGATACGTAAAATAAAGATTTAGAGATTGCATTTAAAAACATAAATCTATTTTATTCATTTACAGTGAATAGTATTACACATATTTATATAAATCTGTTGTAATAAATATTAATTTTTCTTGTCTATTGTTTTTGTACTTACCTAAATAAGAATATTAATTAATTTATTAATTTTATACTTTGATACTTTATATACCAATTTGTATGAAAATTGAAATATATTTGTGTTAAATATATTAAGAAATTAATTAATTATATTATGAATTATGTTATGTATTTTTATTCTGAAGATACTCATTGTATTGCTCAGGGATACCTTTGAATATCTTAATTTTAGCACGTATTTGTTTCCAAGTTAATTGATTATAATTCTTTCTATCTAATGCCATAGCCTATATACGATTCATTTAGAAATAATTTATACAATAATTCATAACAAGAAAAATATTTGTCAAATAAATTATTATAATGAAAATATTACCTTATAATTTTCTCCATACTTATCCATCAAATAGGTAAGAAAATAAACTTGACTATTTGGTAATCTAAACATCCTTTTTCTTGGCGCTTTTGCCTCTGTTTCAAGTTCTTGTGCTACATGCATTTTTACTGATGTCATTTCAATATCTTCTTCACTCTGCAATTTATTTTCATCATTTTCCTCAACTTTCCATTTTGACACTTTGTCAATAAGCTCCTTTTTTGTATTGGGTATTTTTAAAGTTTCATTTGGATCATATGTTAAACCCATTTGATTTAAATTAGTTCGTGTGGATTTAGTTACATCCCACGATTGTTTTATTTGAGCACTATAAATAATAAATTTTATTTTAATGTTTATATATATATTGATTAAAATAATACGATGATGATTTTGGTTATTTACCATGTTATTGTAGGTAATTTGTATAATTTATTTCGTAATCGCTTACGATTTACATTCATACGATATTTCTTTCTACGTTTTACCTTTCTAATTTTTGTCATTTTTATAATTTCAAACTAACACGTGCTTCTCAAAAAGAAACGATTCTTACTTTTGCTATTTAATAATGTGAACATATATCTTACATGTTATACACTTAAAAATTGTCCCTAGTTAAGTTTCTAGTGTGAAAAATAGAATATAATGGCATGATTGACATATTTACGAACTTCAAATTATTTTTAATTTAAGTTTAAGAGAAACGTAATAAGAAGAATTTTTCTGTTGAAATTAAAATATTTTGTATTGTAGAATAAAGAATATATGAAATAATAAGAGGTAACGTATTAATCTTATTCTTAAATTAATAGATATTATATTTCAATTTATTATATTTTAATTCATTTCTAAATAATTTATTTCCAATTTATCAATTCATAATTCTACATTTTTATTATTTATATACAACATATTTCAACTATACTATAAAAATCATATCATATGTAATTAATATAATTATTAATAATTATTTAAATAATCATAAAATTTATATTTATGAATTGATATAAATGGTAAATTATGTATAATATAATTTAATATTAATATTTAATTAATTAATATTAGATACATATTATATTGAAAATTGAAAGAATATTTTGAAATAAAGAAATCGATAATTGGATTCGATTAATAATAATTAGATTTGATTATCTATTATTTATTGTATTGATTTTAAAATTATTCTACAATTATGATAGGAAATTTTTTCATAAAGCATAATGAATTTCAAGCATGTCTTATGTATGTTTTTTTTTTAATAGTATTTTGTTATATAATATATTTCAATAGAAAAATATTATCTCAAAATAAGTGATTACAATTTATTAACAAATAATTTAATCGTTACTCGCGTGAAAAAAAGAATTAAAAAAGGAAAAATTTTATTATTTATTCATTTGATTTTAAATTTTTTAAAGAATATAATAAATCATTTATTGTTTGAATAAAAATAAATCGAAGTATTACAATAAATTGAAGTTTTTAAAGTAAATTTTTATTTGTAATATAAATTTAAACTGATACAATAAATTTATTATTTTAATTGAAATATTGAAAAACAAAAGTGCTTTTAATATTATTTGTAAATAAATTGTGATAATATCAAGTTATATTATTAATATATTATTATATAAATATTTTTTTTTAGGAAAAACAAATAAAACAAGATAAATATCGTTGAATAAAAAAAAATTAAAATTTATTTGTCAATCATTCAGGCATACAGAAGGTAAATTCTTTAGATTTGAAAATCTATTTCGCTAATGCAACAGCAAAAGGTAATTGTAATATAAATAAAATTAATATCATTTATACCTATTTATACACAATACACGTATATCTACATCTATCTGATAGTTTCAATAACGTGAAATAATCAAAATATTTATCTACAAATCTGAATCATAATCTTATTATTTGTCATATTAACCCTTTCATTCCTAATGAATCACATATTATTTTTAAAAAAACAACGCCTCCTTGAGTAAAATTCATCGTCTAAATTATATCTCAATAGAACTTTGTCTAAGAGATAATATTTTTTTTTAGAATCATCGAACTTTCGAAATTTCATTCGAGAGATCCAATATTCCTAGGGCTTGAGAAGACTAAGATCTATCCTTCTCTCAAAGGAAATCAAAAGGGTTATCACAATTGGAATCAGAAATTTACCAGGCATAGCTGGTACCGAAACCATTGAAAACGGTGTGTACAACGGGGGCGGCAGCTTCGTATCCGTAAGCCTTGGTGATCAGTTGAGCTTGATGAGCAATAGGAGCAGCGGCGTAAGTCTTGGCCAGAAGAGGAGCAGCTGGCGTAATGGAGGCAGTATATCCGGCGGCTGGAGCGATCAGAGCACTTTTAGCGATGATTGGAGCCTGGGCAGCGTATCCGTAGCTCTTGGCAAGAAGAGGAGCAGCCGGTGCAGCGTGCAAGAAGGAAGCTGGAGCGGCGTGTAACAAAGGTGCAGCTGATGTAGCGTGCAAGAGAGGAGCTGGAGCTACAGTACCGATTGGAGCGGTATATCTGGTCAGAAGAGAAGCTGGTGCAGCGTGCAAAAGAGGAGCTGGTGCAGCTACAGCAGTCTTGGTAATCAAAGGAGCAGAGGCGGCGTAGGTCTTGGTCAACAAAGGAGCACTGTAGCTGTACGGTGCAGCATAAGTCTTGGCAATAAGAGGAGCAGCGGTTGGGGCGAGATAGGCTGGCGTAGAATAGGCAGCCTTCACGAGGGGAGCATGAGCAATGTCGTAGTTCAAAAGAGCATCGTTGCTGATACTCTGACTGCTGACACGAACAAAGGAATGAGCGGAATCGTCAGATTTCGTGTAAGAGGAGATCACGTTCTGGCCAGCGAATCCTTTTTGCGTAGACTCCTGGCTAAAACCAATGCTGCTATGATCTCCTGATGATGCTGCGATGTCGTAAGAAGCTGGGCCACCTGCGTTGGCTGCTGCCAAGAAAGCTGCGAATATTACAAACTGAAAAAAAAATTTTTTGTTTTTATTTGAAATTATACTATATATTTGATATGTTATTATATTATTTGATGAATAACAGCAAGAATCTTTTAAGAATCAACAAAGAATCAACAAGTTGAAATTATTTTTGAAAGTTTTATTTTAAATCATCATAGAAGAAGATCAAACTAATTAAAATCTAAAATTCAAACAAAATCTTTTTCTATGAAACATTATGCATCGTTACAATATATAAAATATCTCTCTGTAAGTTTTATTGTATTCTGAAGGGCGTACACGGAAGAAGCTTACCTTGAATGCCATTTTACTTTTACGTGAAGAAGTCGTGCTCTGACGAAGTTTCAAACTTGGCCCACTATTTATATGCAGCTAAGGTTGCAGGGGGATCAATCGAATTTTGGGTGCCACTGTTTCCAATGGGATTGGATATGGTCGATAAAGAGTGGGGAAACTGTACCGCGATACTTTTTTCGTAAGGAATTAAGATTGAAGGATAGAAAGTATAGGATAGCCAGGTTAAGAGGGGACACGAACAAATACATAAACATTGGGCGTGGTTCTGACATAATTAGAACCATGGAATTAGTAAGTATTTGCAATTTTAAAGAATATATTAGTTTATATTTTAATAATCTTAAGAAAATATCTTCCTATCAGATGCAAATATTTTTAATATATGATAAAATCAAATTTTTATAAAATTTATTATAATATATATTTATTTGAAAAAGTTTTTACAACTATATAAAATATGTAGATTAAATATATTAAATTTAATAGTATTTTACAATTTTACAAAACTTAAAAAAAAAGTGCAATTAACATATATCATTCTTACATTCCAAAAAAGAATTTATGAAGATGATATTTAATACCTTATATGTTATTTCATTTAACTTCATTAAGAAATCCAGAAAAAGTTACATTGCTAATTATACGTTCACATAATAAAATTCGACGAACTAAATAAAAAAAAAAAAAACTGTTCATCATATGTGAGTGATCTCTTTTCAGGTTACTCACTTTAATTTGTATTGCATAAAAAAATGCTGCAACGTCACATAAGACGATTAAATTTTTTTTCCCTTATATCCTGGCCTTCCTTTCGTTTATGTAATGTGATACATATACCGATGCCGGGTCATGATATTGTGGAACCTGTCAAGGACGCACTTTCTCCAAATTGTGGCACTGACATATAAAGTAATACATGTTCCTACTGATAATTTTTGCTCATGTGTCAGTGATTTTATTATATTTAATATTAGATAAAATCGATTATATTCCAATATGATCCTGAAGATGGATAAAATCTGCGTAGAGAAATAGGTGTAATATTACTAATCCTATATAATGAGCCTTCATAACGCAATTTCAAGTTTTGATCCGGATCGCTGGCATGATCGATATTAAATTTATTTAAAAAAATCGCAAAAAAAAGTGGTTTTCTAGATGATTTGCTATTTCAAATTATTTTGTCATTTTCTTTTTAATATCTAAAAATAAAAAATGAAGATGAGAATCATCAAGTTATTTATATATTCTTATAAAATAAAATGTTTTCTCATTTAATCTCACGTTTCTCCATAAACTTTTTTTTGTTTGTTCGCTGGTTCCTTGTTCTTCTTTGCGATTATTAAAATTTTCTTTTATCCATTGAGTGATGCGCCTTTTTACGCATTTATCGTGACCAGTATCGATCAAAGAAAAATCAGAAAAAATATTGTTGATTTTAATCGCCTCTGGATCACAAGGTCGTTCAAATGTGGTGTCTTTGACAACATGTAAACCGAACAAAGGTTCTTCTTCTTCTTCTATGGATATTACTGTGCTTCTCCGAGATATTGATGACTCTCTTGATACATATTCTTCTTCTTTGGATGGTATTTCTTTTCGTTTTTCTCTTTTTATTGGAGGTTTAATAATTTCTACAGTATCTTTTTGAATACGATCTGGTTTAACGTATACCTGTTTCGAATCAAAAGTTGCTAAACCATATCCATCATTCAATTCGTATATTGTGTAAAGTTCTTTAAGTATCATAGAAATACGAGGTGATAATGAACCATTTTCAATGAGACGTTTGGTCATATGAAGATATTCTTCTGTTGGAGACAGAAGACTCGTTGTGGGATCTGTGGTATATATTATTTGATTGAAATTGTGGCGAAAAATGTAATTTATTTTTATAACATGATAATATACCAGACACGTCTTGACTTTCTACAATAGTAAAATCAATTTCATTTAATTCATTTAATTCTGAAGGCATTGTAACTTCACTTCCCCAAGTTGGTTTTGGTGGTCTCTCTATTTCAGACTTGTTTTGCATAGTTTTATCAAATTTTTTATTGATTTTTAATAAATAACTTAAGAAATAATTATAGAACAATTAATCCAATATTAGGTTACGTAATTATAATACGTAATATTAGGTTTATTTTCATAGCGTTTGTCATTTCAATTTTCTTACTTCATGTAAGAAATTTTAAATTTCAATTTAAGCAATTCATTTTCATTTGCGATTAAAAGTTTATATTTCTTATTAAAATTTTGGTAATTAATAATATGTTGTAATATGGTGTTCTTTATATTTTAAGTTATCAATATAAAGAAATAGCTTTTTGACCTGCTTCGTATTTTAATTCCCTTCTGCTGTGATATATTTACACATATGTATAAACAGAAGATAAGATAATGTACACGCGTTATGCTAGTAATAATCATTATTTTAAATAGTTGTCTTAAAAATAGTCTTAAAAATAGTTGAACAACAGTTATATATAAATTGTTCAAAATTTGTTTTATTTTTCTACAATATATTTCAAAATCAATATTTCAATAATAATTATCAAAATATTATTTTTAATTTTCAAAGGAATATATTAATATATTGCAAAAAAAAATTCTATTAAAATAATAAAAAAAAACAAAAAAGTAAAATCGACGAGGATGGGATTCGAACCCACGCGTGCAGAGCACATTGGATTAGCAGTCCAACGCCTTAACCACTCGGCCACCTCGTCATATGAAGAATCTTTCTTTCATCGTCTATCATATTTTGCAATTATTTACTTTAACACAAATTTCTTTTATTTTCAAATATATTAAATATATTTTTATTTTTTATTGAATACTTTAATTCGTTCTAAAAAAATTACTTCTATTTCATATATTTTGCTTATATATTTAATAAATAAAGATTTTATGCAATTAAAAGAGTAAGAATGTTGCAATCAATTCAAAATTCTCCTATTTTTTGAATTTTATAATATAATCTTAAAAAATGATAAATATTATCGTAGAAACATTATCATTTGATATTTAATAGAATAAATGATATAAGAAGCAATATATATATATATATAAAATATATATAATAATATATATAATAAATATAATTTGAAACGAATATGTAAAATGTATATCGTTCAATTATTTGCATTTCTAATTTTCATTATCTTATCTGCAAAATTATTTATTTGAACGCATAAATAAAAAATGTGTCAATTTTGCAAATGATTTTTGCAAATTTGATGTACTTTTGTTTAGTTAAAAATCAAATATATGTTAATATTTAAGCCTCAACTAAATAATTAAATAACATTTTTACAACGTTTCAAATTTAAAGAAACATGAAACATATATTTATAATCTTTATTAGGTAATCATTTCTATACTGTCTTGTCATTGCCTTGTTCGGTATTATTCTAAAGTGATGAACACGATCTATTACTAATTTTATTACTTTTACTGTTAATTCGTATATCAAAGTAATCGATATGGAAAATGCGATAAATTTGTCATTACTGTATACACCGGTATATGATGAAGAGATTACGAAAAGTTTTGAAAATAATTTTTCAAGAATTAAAGGTAAATAATAAATTATAAATTATATAATCATTATATTTAACGTTTCGTATAAATACAAGTAAATATAATAATATGAAAGATATAATTTAAACAATTGTAAAAAGAAAGTATACGAAGATAAAAATATTTTTAATTAACATATGTTTCAGAAGAATGTTATCTAGATCATGCAGGGGCAACATTATATTCTGATATACAAATAAAAAATGTTGCTTCTGATTTATATAATTCACTTTATGCTAATCCACATTCTATTGGAATTGCAAGTAATATGACCCAAGATATTATAGAGCATATGAGATATCAGTAAGACATAAATAAACAAAAAATGAATAATATTATTAATTAAATAAAATCAGAATTATTTTTTTTTTTATTAGAATTCTAGATCATTTTCATACATCTGCCGATGAATATAGTATTATTTTCACATCAGGTGCAACTGCATCCTTAAAGATAATAGCTGATACATTCTTATTTAATAAAGATGAAAAAAATATGTCTAATCCAGGCCATTTTGTTTACACACAAGATAATCATACTTCAGTTCTTGGTATGAGAGAAATTGTTTGTAAAAAAGGAGCAAAAATAACTTGCTTAAACCATAATAATGCTTTTGAAGTTTTCAATTCTTCTTCAAAATCTATTAGTTCCCATTCACAACAAAACAATTCACTCAAAAGTAATTCACTCTTTGTTTATTCTGCCCAATGTAATTTTTCTGGATTAAAATATCCTTTAACATGGATTAAAGATGTACATAATGGAATTTTGTCTAATGTAATTCCTAGTACATCTACAAAGTGGTATGTCTTACTTGATGCTGCTGCTTTTGTATCAACAAATGACTTAAATTTGTCTATTGTTAAACCTGATTTTATTTGCTTGTCTTTTTATAAAATGTTTGGATATCCTACTGGAATTGGTGCATTATTAGTAAGAAATGTTAGTGCAAATGCACTTCAAAAAATTTATTATGGAGGTGGTACCGTAAATGTATCTTTGAGTTCTGAATTATTTCATATAAAACGACAAAATCTTCATCAAAGGTAGAAATTAAAAACTATTTTCTAAACTTAATTCCTTATTAATATTTATTCTCTTACAGATTTGAAGATGGTACTATATCATTTCTTTCTATAATATCTTTAAAATATGGTTTTGACATATTATCATCCATCACAATGGAAAAAATTTCAAAACATGTATTTTCTCTTGCAAAATTTTTATATACATCTTTGTTAATGCTTCATCATAGCAATGGAAGACCAGTTGCAAAATTATATTCTGATACTGTTTATGATAATCATGATATGCAAGGAGGTATTGTTGCTTTTAATCTCATACGATCTAATGGTGAATATATAGGATATATGGAGGTTTTAAATATGGCAGCATTATTTAAAATACATTTAAGAACTGGTTGCTTTTGCAATCCTGGTGCATGTCAAAGACATTTAGCACTATCAAATAAAGAAATTCTTCAAAATTATGAAGCTGGTTATGTTTGTGGAGGTTCTACAGATTTAATAAATGATAAACCAACAGGTGCTATAAGAGTATCATTTGGATATATGTCAACAATTAAAGATATTCAAAAATTATTAGTTATGATTAAAGAATGTTTTGTTGATGGATCACCAATAAATAAAATTCCAGATTGGTGGTTAGATTATAAAACATTTTTATATAGGAAATATAATTTACATGATGGAAAAACAAAAGATGTAACGAAACATATAATACATAATAATGCAACTGAAATTAATAATAAGTTACAAGATAGAAAAAAAGAAACATTAACACATATTATTAATGATAATTCAACTTTTAAACTAATAACAAACACTAGTGCAATTAAAAAAGAATATACTTTAGAACAATTATATATATATCCAATAAAATCATGTGCTGCCTATAAGATAACAGATTCTTGGAATTTAAATTCAAAAGGTTTAGAATATGATAGAGAATGGATGATTATTACATCTTCTGGTACTTGTTTAACACAAAAACAACATATTAATCTTTGCTTGTTAAAACCAATTATATTAAGAGACAAGGGGATTATGCAATTACATTATCCAGGTAAAAATTCCATTTATTTTATATATATATTTATTGTAAATTTAATATTTCAAAAATATTTTAGGAATGCCTATTATGGATATTCCTTTAGATAATTCCATAAATATTATAAATGAAACTATTTGCCAAAGTAGAGTATGTGGACATAAAGTACAAGGTACTGATTGTGGATCAGATGTTTCTAATTGGATAAGTTTAGCATTAGGACTTCCAAATTTAAGACTTATAAAACAAAGTAGTAATGATAATAAAGAAAAAGGTATGCTTTATATTATATTATTAATTAAAAGTAAAATTAAAATTTTATTTCATCATTTAAATATATTTTTCTTTTGCAGCTAACATTAAACCTGAATTATCGTTTTCTAGTCAAGCTCAATTTTTATTAATAAACAAAGCAAGTGTATTATGGCTCAGTGATAAAGTACGTGATAAAGAAGTGCAAAAAGACACAATTATACATAGATTTAGAGGAAATATTATAATAAGTGGTTGTGAAGCTTTTGAGGAAACACAATGGAAACATATTTATATTGGAAAAAATAGTTTTATGGTTTGTTTTGAAAGAATAGAAATAAAAATAATCTATAATTAGCTTTTTGATTATGATTTTTGATTATTAATAATTTTTCTTTTAGATAATAGGACCATGTACTAGATGTCAAATGATTTGTATTGATCAAACCACTGGTGTAAAAACAGCAGAACCACTACGTACACTTACAGAACAGTTTCATGGAAAAATGAAATTTGGTATTTATTTAAGTAAAGAAAATAAAGAAAATGGAATTATTACTGTTGGAGACACTGTTTATATTTCGTAATTGAATAATTAATATCATTGTTACTGAAATATAGATGAAAATATTTTTTAGGTTGTTTTTTAAGGTTATGAATAATGTAATTGCAGTTATACTTATTAAAAAAAAAATAAGTATAATAGATTTAAAATTAATAATTCATTAAAAAAGATTTAATATTAATTATTAATTATTATATTAGGCTTTTATGCAAAATATAAAATATTATTATTCTTAAGATACAGATATATGCACCACAATTACCAACTATTTCTATGAAAATGTTCATTTTATAATTCATTTTTTTATATTAAAAAAAAAATCTTTTTATACTATAGATACTTATAATATACTTAAAAAAACTGTAGTCTTATAAATTTCGATATAAAAAATTTAAATATAAAAATAAAAAAATTAATATGCTTTTTTATATTTAGATTTATATCATTCAATAAATTGTAAAAATGCAAATCAATTGCAATGTTAAATATTACAATTATTTAATTTTTGATTTGTCTTCTAAAATTATATTATATTTTTTTGAATTTCCTTTGTCAATTTGGTAATACTGTAATTATCAGCAATTTCCGTGGCGTTATTCTATACATATACTATCATATGTTACTGTGAACAAGGTTCAGTATAGTTCATGAATTTTGAGTAAGGTGTTGTTTCTACGTGTTTCTTCTGTTTATCTTTGATCATAAAATATTCAAATTTATTAGAATAAATGACGTTACGCGTTGAATATTATATCGTGAAACGCGCGAATGTTTTGAAAATTGTACACGTAGGCAACAGGTGTCTAATGCCGCACATGTTTCTCTTTGACTGTAGCGATCATTTCTCATTTTAAAATTGGAGGATTATAGCGTAGTCATATACAAGCTATATTTTTTGGATTTTTAGTCATGCTAAAAACAGTTCATAGAAGTTTATATCAAAGTGGCCATTTTAATAAAGTTTTACGATAGAAGTGTGCATAATTAGTTATTAATACATCAAAATGGAATACGATTATCTTATTAAATTTTTGGCTCTTGGAAACTCTGGAGTCGGCAAGACTAGTTTTTTATATCAATATACTGATGGCACGTTCGAATCTCGTTTTATATCCACCGTTGGTATTGACTTTAAAGAAAAACGCGTGGTAAGAAATTATTCTCATTAAATATGTTATTGCTTATGTTATTTTATTTATTATTAAATATAAATTGTTTTATTTTATATAAATTTTATTTGTCTAAAATATATTAAGAACATATTATTATATAAGTAAAATATAAATATATAATATAGTAATTGTCTTTCATACACATATGTTATCACTTATAAGTTAAATTCATTAATTATTACAGATATACCAGACGGCAAATGGTAGAACTCAACGTGTGCATTTGCAATTGTGGGATACAGCTGGCCAAGAGCGGTAACATTTATTATAATAATATATTAGAGAATATATATTTTATAATAATGCATATCAAAGAAAGCTTTTAGTGTTTTTTAACAATATTTTAGTAAAAAAATTATATTTATTAATATAATTAAAAAAGAAAAGATTTTATTGCAAGCAATTAATATTTTACAATAGAGCAATGTTAGATTTCATAGCAAGTGCTGCAATGCTACTAATGTTCAGGTTCAGAAGTCTAACTACAGCCTTTTACCGGGATTCTATGGGTTTCCTTCTAATTTTTGATCTGACCAATGAGTTGTCCTTTCTTGAAGTAAGAAATTGGCTGGAGCAGCTTAGGGTATACATTATTTATTAACATTATTATCATAAATATTGTACAATGAATGATGATTTGAGTTAATTTATGTATTGTATTTAAAATTTTAAAATTGTAATCTATTAAAAATACTAATATTTTGATTTTATATATATTGCATGATATAAATTGAAATTGTTTAGAAATTTTCTTGAAATAAAAAAAATTTAATCAATTGTGCCTGAAAATTTGAAGCATAAAATGTGCTTTATTTTGTTTGCATGCTAAAAAATAATTGTAGATAAACTAGTATTAATTTAATAATAGATATTAAGTATTTTTTATTTTATGTATATTTATATAAAAAAACTCAAACTATCGTTCGATCGAAAGATCGTAAAATTTATTAATATACAAATATATACAATAGTTATTAAATGAAAATTAAAAAAGATTTGCATCACGTTTTTATTAAAATAATCTCGTTAATAGACCTCGTATTTAATGCTCTATGATATATAATTAATATTTATTATTTATATAAAAAGCAATTCGATCACGAAGTATTGATTTCTTAATTCTAATTCACATAATGAAAATAATTTAAATAAATTTGTTGAAATTCTGGAAATAAACTATATTTTTGTAAAATATATTTAAATATAGACAAATTCAAATAAATAAATTAATATGGAATATATATAAATAAAATTTATTTAGAAAATTTTTGTTTACAATAAATTCGTAAAAATTTTTCAGGATATCGTATAATATACACGTGTATATATATATATATATACATAGCTATTTCTCAAAATTATTCTCAATTGATTGATTATCCTTATGATAATCCTGAGTAATGTAAAAAATATATATTTATTAAGTATTAAAAACATTTTAGAAATAAAGCATTATATTCAGTATATTAATATATATTCTTAATTAGAATAATTTAAAAAAAAAAATTTAAACAAATTTTCTTTTCAAATATTTTATTATAAGAAAAAATGATTTAGAATTGTATCTGTTTTAGTTCTGTTTACTGTCTACTTAATTATGGCATTATTTCCGTTTCTTGTTATTCTTTTGTTTAATCGTTGATTCATATCTGTATACGTGTAGACTCATGCATATTGCGAAGATCCAGACATAATTCTCTGTGGAAACAAGTGCGATCTCGAAGATAAACGAGTTGTTAGTGAACATAAGGCACGGGAATTAGCAGAAAAACATGGGTAAATAATATAATACATGGTATTTATCATTATTACCTTTCTTATCAATTATGCGATTAATTATTACATTCAGCATTACTGCAATCATATTTTTATTTCAAATTATAAATTTCTATATTTTTGTAACAAGTAAACTTATTTATTACATTTTTATTTATTAGTTATTTTGTTTTATATTGTTTTGTTTCTATTGTTAATATAATTGCAAAATAAATTAAACCAATTTGCACTATTTACATTTCAAATCTTTCAAAGATATAAGTTTATTAGAATATCCTGTATTTAAGTATTTTTCTTTTTTTTTTGAAGAGAATACTGCCACAAGTATAAAAAAAAAAAAGAAAAAAAAATCAAACGGAAAAGAATAAAAAAGCAAAAGATCAAACGGAAAAGAATAAAATTTTTAATGAATTTTATACTCTTCAGCTTGGTCTATCTAGAAACAAGTGCAGCCACGGGTCAGAACGTAGCACGTGCCGTAGAGTTACTTCTGGACCGGGTAATGCGCAGAATGGAGACGACTGTGGATAAATCACTGCTACCTCACCAGAAAGTGTTACGATGCAACGAGCGTGACACACCGCCTCCAAGTACTTCCTGCTACTGCTGACACTGTTCTTACGCATAGCGTAACTGAATAATTTGCTTCGTAAAATTTATTTTATTCAACTAACATTGTGGACTGACTGACTTGTACTTGAATCTCTTATCTTCAAATATTTCAAAATATTTGCATTTTATATTATTTGCATATGCGTATGCATGATAAAATATCGAAGATGTGCAAAATTTCGAAACACTAATAATGATTTTAAAAATTGTATATCTTTATACATGTTGTTTCCCGCATTCACGCGCATACTGTTGTCTTCCATTAATAGTTTCCTACTAGTACAAAATTATGTCTGTATTACAAATCGTTGAACGTATCTTCTTCCCGATAACGTGATCTATCTGTTACTCTCGTACGCACAACGTGTTCAATATATCTTGTTTGTTTTCTCTGTTTATTCGCCAAAAATTGTGATATGATAACGTTGCGATTTATGTAAGGTGAAACAATCAATTTTCGATATATATATATATATGTATATGTATTTTTGATGCTGTTATTGTGCCCATACCAAAGTTGTACATCTAGTCTTTAAGAAATTATGCTGAGAATACAATCAAAGTGTCGTCTGATGCACTGTTTGTACTATCGTCGAATGCTGATGAATGTCTCTGTTCTTATCAAGTTTTTAAACAAAATGTATTTTATGAAGATTAAATGTTTGTTCTTATATAGTTATTAAGAGGAAATATTAAAAAATGTTAATCATTGTTTATGCAAATCGAGAAATTTACATGTTGTTTCTTTCAATTTTTATGTCTATGAATCACGATTGATCAAGAAGTATTTAAATATATAAATATTTATTGAATATCTATATAAAAATATAAAGTGGGATGATGATTTTCTGATTTTTTTGAATTATATGAATCATCGTAAAAGAAATGACGACAAGATTAAAATATTATAGGATTATCATAAGAAAATTGATCTTTTGAAACTTTAACAATGCGTTTTTAGGAAAAGATATATTTATAATATTTCTCTTAATGTAACAGATTGTTTAAGATAGAGATATTGTAAGTTGTTGCTCTATCCTATGTGTTGTATCACATCGATATAATAAAAGAAGATAGCACGAATTACATCTCTCTGTTTCAAAAAAATTCTGTTATTCATTTTCGATTTGCTACAAATCTTGATAGCAACGGAAAATGAAAATGCACGATGATGAATTATTCTAATAAATTTTTGATCTAACTTTTTCTCGCGTACGAAGAGAATTTTGAATCTCGAATTTTGACGTATTTATTCGATTTCGAGTGAATTCGTGTGGATCTTGATGTGTTCAAATTCTGATTAGATATTTACTAAGCCGTGTTGTTACGATGAAAATGTAAATTTGCATGTTGGAGTTTGCGATTGTGTGTTTTCGACATCGTTTACTGTAAAATTCTCTCGTTTTTAAACAAGTCTGTTAAACAATTCAAATCTAACCAGGCAACGCAAAGAGCGTGCTATATCGTGTATACGTATTTATCTATCTTATATACTTCATAAAAATTCTCTCTTGAGAAAATAGAAAATAGAATCTGAACGGAAATTTCCAAGAATATTCTCGCAGGGTAAATAAGCCATCTGTAATTCTGCTTAAACGAGTTTCTCTCCGTTTATCTGCAAATCCTCAACTGGTAAGACCATAAAGTAGCGCACTTATGGATAATCCGAAGCTAAAAGCAACTGCCTCGCCAAAAACTCGAACAACAGTTTAAACTCGAAGAACACGAAGTTCCAAGCAGATTTCCGATACAATCAATCAAAGGTGACGACGCTCTGAGACCGTAATGTAGGTCGTTCTTCGAACTTTATCTTACCAGTTGAAAGGTATGAGAAACCGTGTGAAACTTCTTTGCAGCGAAGTTGAAAACAGGAAAAAAGAAGAGAGAGAGAGAAGAGAGAAAG